CCCCAAAACCCCAAAACCCCAAAACCCCAAAACCCCAACTAAAAAGCTGAACTGATTACAAAAGCGCCATTCTCTTCACTAATAACTTTACCACATTAGCACAATGACATCTTCCAGCCCATTTTCCTTCACAATCTGCTCTGCTTTCTCTTGCTCGATCCCTCATTTCTCAAGTCCGATCACCTTCAGACTCTCTTTCAAGTCCTCTTCTTGTGCTAGGCCTGCCACCAAATTCTCTATCTGACTGGGCTGCTCTGCCCAGTCAGATCTAGAGCAGTGGCCGCAGCCGGTCAGGTAAAGTTCCTGTATCAGACATCCCTTAAGAGCTCCCAAGAAGCAAGGCACAGAGGAAAGATCCAAGATTCATGAATCGAAGGTGAAAGACCGCTTGTGCTTATAGGCTGAAAGTAGAGCAATTAAGTTCTCCTGACTAATTTTAAAATTAGCTATTCTCACCTCGATCCCAACTCTGCTGCTCACCTCAACTAGCTGGTTAGCATACTCGTCCAATTCATCACTTAAAATAGAATTATCGTTAAAGTTCAGCCCATCTAAATTCTTAGGGAATAGAACTGCAGGAAATCTTTTACTATTGAGCTCTCTTCAAGCAATGAGTTTATATGTTTGTAAAGGAAACTAGACTCAATATAAGTGTATTCATCAATCACAGATAAGAGCTTTTGCTTGGCTAAATATGACTTATGAGTATTTCTCAGATTTAGGCTAAGCATTACACCGCTTTGGACTATCAATAAATCGTTTAAACATTCCGTCTTACAGGAAATGCTGCTTCTGGACATTTAATTAAGTCATGCAGAAAGCATGACAAGCCCAGATTGGTAATAAGCGCACAATTTTTATGTTATTGATGTATAAGAAGATACTCATAAGAAACTTAAGAAGAACACATTTTTAACCTACCTCTTTGGTACAGAATGTTGTCTCTGACTCTTACAGCCTGGTTTTCTAGACGTTCTCTTTTAAGAGTCTCAATTCCGTCCGAGATACTTTGCTTCAGCCTGAAATTTTCCATTTCGCTCTTATTTGCTTTCTTCTTCAAGCTTGCCAATAATCTTCTGCATTTCTGCTATATCTCTTTGCTTAGACTTCAAGGAATTCTTATATTCTTCTTGTGCTATATAGCCAAGAATGTTAGTTTGCGTGTGACGATTGTCCCAGCCTTCATATGGCTTGGAAGATGCTGACTATCACTACTGAGACAGCTCCTGGCAAACAATACGGAGCAGCTCAGGCTAGCTTAAAAAACCCGAATGGAACAGATCAGTACCTTTACTCTTTTCTTCTATCTGTGCCTTAAGATTGAGTCTCAGATTCCTAATCTTAAGTTTCTTCCTTGTCCTCTTTGATTGGAGCTCTGAGATTACTATTTAGAAGAATTAGAGGAAATTGGGCCAAAAGCTATTTAAAACCCCGGATTTTTGGAAACTTACATTTTTGATGGTCCAACTGGACACCTCTCCTTTGAGTCTTAAGCTGACTGACGATCTGCTCTAGATGAGACAAGTGCTTGGATCTCTGCAGAATCAAGATCTCTTCAAGCAAAGGGTTGCTTTGGAAATTATGGGGAAGAAGAAAATTTTGGGGATTTTTGGATTCCTCAATTAGCTGTTCGGATATTGAAGCACTGTTTACTTGAAGATCGCCTGTAATTGCAGATTCAGCTTCTTTCCATAACTTTATAACAGCATATTTCTGGAAAATCTTATCTTGAGTAAGTATCTTCTCCACCTTCTTGGCTTGCTGTAAGAGACATTCAAACATATAGTAGGTTTTATTTTCTCTGAGCAGCCTCAAGTTGTATGAGGATATCCTCTATGTGTCCTTTAATCGTTAGGTTCAGACCTTCATACTCCTCAGGAGTCGAAAGATGTCCAAATGTGAATGGAGAGAACTCTAATTCTTTTCTACACTGATTGATGGTTCTCAACAATGCTTTGACTGGCTCTGGAGTGATGAGTGTAATACATTCTTCATCAAGATCAACAGCATATTCATTATATCTAGCTGCCTTATCATCGCTACAGACATACTTGCCAGAACGAGTCAGGTAGAAGATAGATCTTTTCTTACATCCCTTGGCCTGGCATTTTGGAAATTTCATGTTTTGTTTTAAATAATAATTGTCAACTATATCTATTGATTTCGGGGTTTTGGGGTTTTGGGGTTTTGGGG